ATGCGGGCCTCTCACTGCTGTGGCCTCTCCCATTTGCGGAGCACGGGCTCCGGACGCGCAGGCCCAGCGGCCACGGCTCACGGGCCCAGCCGCTCCGCGGCATGTGGGATCCTCCCGAAACGGGGCACGAACCCGCGTCCCAGCAGGCGGATTCTTAACCACTGCGCCACCAGGGAAGCCCCCCGCCTAGCTCTTCTTGCCAGGACACCAGTCACGTTGGATTGGGGCCCACGCGAATGACCGCATTTTAATTTAATCACCTCTTTGAAGTCCCAGATAAACTTGGGGGGGCCACAATTCAGCCCATACCAGAGGGGAATGCTGAAGATTTTATATTTGAGGGACCCGCTTTAGAAAAGGAATGTAAAGTCAAGAATACAAAATATGTCGGGTCCCTTGAAGCCTGGGCTTTCACGGCTCCAGGGAACTTCTCGGCCGTCCCCACCCTCCCAGCGCCCTGGGGCGCTTTGAGACTCAGGATGGTGCTTCCCAGGTATGGGGAGACCCTGCAGAATCAAGTGACGCAGAATCCCAGGGTTCTGAGCCAGAGTTAAGAGCTGCTGCATTTTCTCCTTCAAAGTTTGCAACCTCTGCTTGGGAAAAGCGTAATGAAGGGAAATTCCATTGATTTAATGGGAGGGAAATGAAGCAGGTGATGAGGTGGAATTTCCTGGCCGGGCTGGAAAGAAAGGCCAGGACACCAATCCCTTGAGCTCTTTGTGCCCCTTTAAGAGAAACTGTCTTGGTGAGAAGCTGGTAGGCTGGGCTTCGTTTTCTATTCCCACCTTAGAGAGAGAAGACCCCAGCAGCCACCACCCCCATCCCAGGGCTGGGACACAGGTGGGTGTCTGGGGAGGGTTAGGACTGAGAGGGCTCCCCCAAAGCATTTCTTCCCCACTGTTAACTCCCCCGCCACCTGTAGTTCTCTCTGCCCAAAGGACCCGCCCAAATTGCGCCGTCATTATAAGTATAGTGGCCCTTTGGTATCCGTGGGGCCTTGGTTCCAGGATCCCCCAAAGATACCCCAATCTGCGGATGCTCAGGTCCTTACATACAGTGTCAAAGTACAGGAGGCCGTCTACATCTACGGACTCCGCGGCCGCGGATGATTGAATCGTGGGTCCACGGATGCAGAGCCTGCGGATACGGAAGGCCGACTGTATCTTCTTACAGGCAGCCTTTCCCAGGCCCCAAGGTGGCTGATGCCCCCCGCACTGTTCAGAAAAGTTTTAGCGAGTGGAGATTCTGCTTCCCTTCCTTCTCGAACCCTTTCCCCCTGAGTAGGTCCTGCGTGCTGAAATCTGTGGTGATGTCTGGGTGAGTTTCCCAAGCTTTAGAGGGGAAAATGATAGCACCTGCCCCCTGGGGTGGTGGTAAAACAGTGGGTCTCCAAGTGGCTCCCCAGACCAGCAGCATCGAGATCAATGGGGGCTTGCTAGAAAAGCACGTTCTATGGCCCACCTCAGACAGACCCTCGGGGAACGGGCTGGGCAGTCTGCGTGGATCTGCCCTCTGGGGGTCCTGATGCCCAGTGGAGGGTGAGAGCCGCTACTGTGAGGGTGATGCAAGGGTGACCACGTCCCTGGCACACAGTCGGCACTGTCCATGATTCTGATAGTTTGTGATGAAGAGTCATTGATTTACTACGTATTCAGGGTGGCCTGGACCGGTGCTGGGATCCGTGGGCACCAACATGATAGAGTCCGCCCTGCACGTACAGAGGGAAGAGGCCAGGCCAAGAGGGCACACAGGGTCCGATGGCGTTTGCGACCCCGCCGCACTGCTCACCAGCTGGGTGTCCTTGGGCAGGCAGTCTCCCCACGCCTCGGTCCCCCCTGTGTCAGTGGCTACAGTGAGGATTAAATGAGACATTATGTGCAAAGCACTCACCCAGTGGCTCTGAGTAAGTGTCTGATAGATCCGCTGGCCTCGTTGCTATGACATAACCTCTAAGGCCTGTTGCAAGCTTCAAGACGCTATGGTTCTTTGCACGTAGGGGCAGGTAACTCGACTGTAGGAAGTAGCCCACATGGATTGTCTTCTGCACAAGGACAAAAGCATCCTACAGGAATTATTTTTTCGCCCTGGCAACCATCCTTTCCACCTGCACTCACCCATCAGGTGGCATATGCATGGTGAGCCCTTACGATGTCCCAGGCACTGGGACCTAGCAGGGAGCACACAGGCTGATCTCTGCCCTGGTGGGGCTTATCATCTAGTTGGGGCACAGACCATGCAGAAATAACAACATCTGTAGCAGGGCACAGGCATCATGGCTGTGGAGGGAGGTACCAGGGAGCCGAGTACACCAAGCGGGGCCCCACCTTACTATCTGGAGACGTGGCTCCTGCAGAGACATCTGGATGCCCCAGGCAGGGCCATGCCCCATCCTCCCCTTGTTTAGATGGGACCTCGGTGGCCCTCTGCGTAGAGACGAGGGCTGAGAAATTTCCCCAGAGCCTGTTCCCATTAGGAACTCTGGGAACCCAGCCTGGGGCCAGAGGGTGGCTCTGTCCCCAGTGTCTGCTGGGACCGTGGAGTGGTCACAGCAGTCCCAAGGGAGATGTGGACACTGGACGTACAGCAACCCGTTCGCAGCAAGCTGCCTTCTAAATTTAGGGAATCCTTCGATCCATCAAACAAACAAACAAAACCTCCTATACAGAATTCTCAGGACATGGGCCAAAAGTTGTTTCTGCTTCAGAGTGGCTTTGGTTTAGCAATTGTCTGTTTTTAGGAGAGGATTTCCTGTAAGTTTTGAAAGATGACCCTGCAGAATTGGGATAACGTAAGAGGACAGGCACTTTCTCTCTCCCACACGTGCTCACGAAGGAAGGGAAGGAAGAGGGATGTGGAAGAGCTTCAGATGTTGGGACCAGGGTTTGTTCAGATGTTCTCGGAAAGAAGCTGGACGTCTGGATGGATATCCGTTCAGGATTTTTTCTGAGACCAGGACCATTTTTTTTTTTTTTTGCGACATGAGGGCCCTCTCGCTGTTGTGGCCTCTCCCGTAGCCGGACGCGCAAGCTCAGCGGCCATGGCTCACGGGCCCAGCCGCTCCGCGGCACGTGGGATCCTCCCAGACCGGGGCACGAACCCGTGTCCCCTGCGTCGGCAGGCGGACTCTCAACCACTGCGCCACCAGGGAAGCCCCCAGGACCATTTTTTTTTTTTTTTGCGACATGAGGGCCCTCTCGCTGTTGTGGCCTCTCCCGTAGCCGGACGCGCAAGCTCAGCGGCCATGGCTCACGGGCCCAGCCGCTCCGCGGCACGTGGGATCCTCCCAGACCGGGGCACGAACCCGTGTCCCCTGCGTCGGCAGGCGGACTCTCAACCACTGCGCCACCAGGGAAGCCCCCAGGACCATTTTTTTTTTTTTTTGCGACATGAGGGCCCTCTCGCTGTTGTGGCCTCTCCCGTAGCCGGACGCGCAAGCTCAGCGGCCATGGCTCACGGGCCCAGCCGCTCCGCGGCACGTGGGATCCTCCCAGACCGGGGCACGAACCCGTGTCCCCTGCGTCGGCAGGCGGACTCTCAACCACTGCGCCACCAGGGAAGCCCCCAGGACCATTTTTTTTTTTTTTTGCGACATGAGGGCCCTCTCGCTGTTGTGGCCTCTCCCGTAGCCGGACGCGCAAGCTCAGCGGCCATGGCTCACGGGCCCAGCCGCTCCGCGGCACGTGGGATCCTCCCAGACCGGGGCACGAACCCGTGTCCCCTGCATCGGCAGGCGGACTCTCAACCACTGCACCACCAGGGAGGCCCCAGGACCATTTTTTAAGACAGGTTTTACAATGAGATTGGGAAATATACCACACAATGACAGATAACATCCTTGGTTACTTGGTTTTAACAGATATAACCTGTTTACAGAGGTTGATGGTATATATGTGGATGGACCTTTATTCAAACAGTAGACTCACTGAACTAGCATTTATGGGGCAGCTCCTGTGTGCTGGGCACTGTCCTCGGGGCTGGAGCCATGGCAGGGACGGAAGAGACCAAAACCTTCATCCTCAGGGGCCTCTGTTTACTGCGGCACGTCCCAGACGCGTACCGTGAGCCACATGTGG